CTGGTACCACCTTAACATGTTGAGTTCACTCACTGGTACCACCTTAACATGTTGAGTTCACTCACTGGTACCACCTTAACATGTTGAGTTCACTCACTGGTACCACCTTAACATGTTGTTAGTTGAAATGATTGACTATGTATTTTTCTTTTCATGCACCATTAAGTTAAGTTTCAAACATGCTCCAGAAACTTCCACTTACCTTTATCAATTTCTCTTGAAAAGGTTGTCTATAAAATCTAATTTCTATTGTTGTTGTTGTAGTAGTACCATTACACAAAACTTTGATCGATCTGTAGTAGAAGTCTGACTATATTCTTTTCAGTTAAAAGAACAGAGGATCTTTTGGTCAGGAATAACTGTTTAATAATTACTTGGATTCATTCCTCAGTTCTTATTCAATAACATCCAAATAATTATTAAACACAACCAAAGTTTCCTTGCACTCAAACTTTAATAAACAGAATGTATTATTCCACACCTTGTTTTTATTTTAAGTGGAAGGTTTACTTCATGATTTCACATGTTATTTCAGGTAGAAAAGAAGAAACAGGTAGATAAGATGAAGAGAGATCAACTAAATGACCAATATTTAGACCTTGTGGAGAAACAAAGGTTATATTTCAAAACAGTCAGAGACTTTAAAGAGGTTAGTGTTTGTGAATTTACGCTTTATGGAGAAGCAATAGCTGATTTTTCAAAGGCTTTAAAAAATATTGTAATGTTTCTTAGATGTAATGATGGAGAAACAAAGGTTATATTTCAAAACAGTCAGAGACTTTAAAGAGGTTAGTGATTGTGAATTTACGCTTTATGGAGAAGCAATAGCTGATCTTTCAAAGGTTTTAAAAAATATCGTAATGTTTCTTAGATGTAATGAAATTACGATTACAGTTCAAGAGATTTTGAAATTAAGGTGAATGTGTCTAAGAATAGAAAAGAGCAGATAGCTCTTGTGTAGCTTTGCACCGAATTCAAAAAACAAACAATAAAAAAGTTGGAGAATAGTTTCTTCTAGATGGGAATAAATAAAAGTTAAATTGTAAAGCTGGATTAAAGAGACAATAATGTTAATTATTAGGTGTAGAAAAATAAAGATTAGAAAGATGAAATTCTCACTTGAAAAGGATTAAAAGATGTCTGTGTGTTTGTTGAGGAAAAGTAAAAATATCAGAGTTCATCCACGTACCAATAAAAAGTGTTCCGTTTAGCCTGTCCCTCGGGCTCTGTTCTGTACATAGTGGTAATGAAGAATTTTTTAAATACATGTGACAAACAAAAAAACTGATAACCAAGTGAACTTCTAACTGACTAGATATCTAGACTGATCCATCACAGTACTTAGACACAAAATGAAGTCCATCATTTTGAAAAGATTAACTTCTACCCCATCCATATTAAGGCTTTTTTAACACATTACATAAGGCCATAAAATGTCATTTCAACTTTGTATTTACTAACCCTTAAAGTTAACCCTTTATTTTTTCATGCGAGTTAACCCTTTCTTTATCTTTACAGGAGTGCAGGAAAAATGAACTTCTAGTGGCCAAACTTAAGGAAAAAACTCAATGAAGGATGGTTAGTTTCAAGGAATATTTTGTATGAAGCTGGGCTTATATTGTACGTTTAAATTATGTTTATAATTGAAAATTTAAATCATAATTAGCGTAAATGATTGTGTTTTTTGTGAAGAAAAAAAAAAGTCAAATCATTAGAATATAAATCATGCAATTTATTGTCTACATAACTTGATTTTGTTCTGGTGTTTCTGAAATCAGACGAAGAATATTAAAAGCTTCTAACTGTAAAGTTAACTCTCAGCAGTGATAATGTATAGAGATCCAATCTCGTCTTGCTGTACTCCTTAACGAAAACTGTACACGTATATCATTAGACTTTGATGGTGCTCTGGATAACTAGATGTAATTTTTCACATTAATGTCCGGAATGATATAATACAAATGCTGACTCGACTTGTTGTTGATTAATATAATCTGCCAAAACCTGTTTATGTACTCAGTTTGTTTTTTTTGCCAAATATCTGAAGATCATTAGTATTATCGATATAAGGAATTATGCAAGTAATTAATATACGTATAAAAATATCTCGAAACAGAAATTATTTTATTGAAAATTCCTTGTTTAGATTTGGTGAAACTAGCTTACGTTAGACGAAACGAATAGTATTGGTGATATATTTCAAAATTAGTGCAGTTCTTTGCAGTAAAGTGTTTATGAAATAGTAGTAAAATTTGCGGAGAAAATAGCGGGACTAAAGAAACAAATGATGACATATATTTATATTCTGAGGTGCTGCACAAGTTTTGTGAATGTTTTCTGTTTGTTTACAAATCCGAGAGCTTGTTAACAGACAGTTTTTTTTTCTTTTTTTTATGGTTAAATGCTGAATAAAATACAATAATGAAATGGTATGGCTTAGAATGTTTTTACTTTAAGTAAAACTAATAGATCTACCCATTGAAAATTTAATTTTTAACCCTTTAATTACAATATGAGTAAAATATACTTTCTGTTATTGGCCACCTATTTTACTAACATGGGTAAATGTTCTAGCTCTTTATGATAATTATTAAAAAATTAATTATTTGTCCACCCTCATCCCATACAGAAACACAAAGCCAATGAGTAATGCAGCCATAAATAATGTTGACCACATATATATTTATTTAATATCTTTGTATTATACAGTGTTGGAAAAGGTGAGAAAAAAAAAGAGTATAAACGGCAAACACTACAGGAATACCACCAATTTTACTATGTGAAAAAAAAAACTGCACAATTGCATTTTGATATCTACAATATGATTGGTTGTCATGCAACCAATCAGCAAGTGCCATATCAGCTAAAACCTATGAAAGAGGTAGCCATGCTGTGTTCAGTAGTAATGGTTGCTCCCAAAGTGGAAATATCTCTTGTTTTATGTGGGTTTTTGTTAACGATGATCAGGTGAAAAAAATGCAAATTTTGATAGTACTTAATATGATTTATTCCTTTATTTTCAAAAGTCTCTGACATGTTGTTACAGCTCTATTTTGTTAATTTAAATATAAACAGTGGACACCAAACTGAACAAGCTCAATAGGTTTTAGGTAGTGATCTACAAGAGTGAGTGTTGCGTACAACATTCCGTCATAATGATAATTAACTATTTAAGACTAGTTTATTCTGTCTGTGATAAGAAGAGCATACATGATGTAAAACCCGGGTCATTGATACATTTATGAATAAAAGCATTGAACAAAAAAAAAAGTTAAGTAAATTGGATATTTAGTGGGTGCGTGAAGCTAGAAAAGAAGCAACTTTTTCTCGGAATGATGCTAGCAAACACTACGACATCTCTTTAAAGCATTAGTATGCAATTCAAAATCTGGATCCATTGTTTAAAGTGTTTGAACTATTTGTCAGTAGGTTAATAAGCTTTCTCCTGGGGCATATGAATCTCTCCCTGCACATAAAAGTGCTGGAATGTTTTCATGTAAGTGTGTCTTAACGACAATGTTATCTTTCATTTAAGTAGCTCTTCGTAAAAGCCAAGTCCTCCTTTACACCCTTGTACTGACCTTAAAAGTAAAAGGTATTAAAATACCCTGTTTAAGTACAACAATCTCAATCTCACCACAGTTTCCTGGTGTGTCTGACACCACAACAAAATACAGGCATTTTAACAAAACAATGCAATATTCCTGCGAAGTATAGAAAACTAAATTGATAAAAAACAACAACACCTTAATTAAGAGTTTTCTTGAGTTACCAGGAGAACATTGGTGAAATTGTTTAGTTATTAATTATAAATATTACTATTGTAGCAATAACAAATACTTTTATAACTGGACATTTTAAAGTTTAAGAAACACAAAGACTAGAGATGTGTTATACGAAGAAATATTTTCTAGAAGTTTCTAGTATCTAACAAGAATTTCCAAATATTTCATTTCCTATTGGTCAGTCTCTACTATATACTGCTTTACCATAAACCTTAAACTAGCACTAAATTAGTCTTAGTGGAGTGTTATTACCTCTGCCACCGAAGTTGATGGAGGTTATCTTTCACTCCTACGTGTGCGTTTGTCAGCAAGATTTCTCAAAACTAGCTGAATGGATTTGGACGAAAGTTGGTATACATTTGGACTATGACCCAACTTATAAGTGATTAGTTTTTTTGAAGGTCACGAAGAATCCAAAAACTCGCTACCTGTTAACATGGGGACCGATTTTTCACACTGTTTTTACCCTATAACTCAGTTAAAAATGATCGGATTTTGATGAAACTTGGTGGACACATGTAGAATATTACTCTTCATTGTCCTGCCAAAAATGGTCCGTGTCCATCGATAACGACAGACGTATGGACACATTTTCGTATTTTTTTGAGAGTCAAATATGATCAGTGTTGTGTGATGGAGGTATGTGCTCTACAGAGTGCCCTCTAGTTCTTGCTTGTTTATAAGTGAAATTAGAAAATTCACAAGATTAGGCTTAACAACCTACAGTTCTATTTACAGAAACTTGTTGAACTTTCCTTGTATCAACTTTCAATAGTCATGAAAACGTTTAGCTATCACGGACTATTATTGTAGTTCCATATTTAATACTCGTTTTAAGGATGGTTTAAGTAAAATAAGTAGTCATGGCAGCGAATCTTTTGTGGACTGTATCTGACTGAAGTCCAGATGCAGATGTATTTCATTTTAGCTTTTGTGCTGAGGCCTTTTGCTAATCAGTATCCTTTCACATATATTAACTCTATGTTAGTGTGTTTCACGTAAAGAGATCACTTCCAATTAATTTCTTAACGAGAAAGAAGTATTCATCACCTGGTGACTACTAAAGTAATTGTCCAAAAGATTCAATTTTGATTTGGTTTCATTTTGTTTCTACAGAAGGGAAAATAAGATCACCTAGTGGCTAACAAATATAATAATCTAAGGACAAACAGGCCGTTAAAAAAAACCTAAATCATATTGTTCTCAACCCTTTTCTTTCCTTGTGTATTTCTCTTTTTCAAGAAATTAAATATTATAATATATATATATTTTTTTTACATTCACTAATATTTCCGCATAAAACTTTCCATCACGTGAATACCTTATCGTCCAAATAAATAAATACACCCTATTTTACAGAGAACTTTCTTGCTGGCCTGGTGGTTCATACTTTCTAAGATTCAAAAGTCTGCACTTCTCTTGTTTTCCATCACTCGGGGAAATTTGTAAGGGCTCATGATCAGATGTCACGGATCTGTTGCTGCAGCTTGGATAAGTTACTTCCCAATTTGAGTGACTTGGCGCTTGGTCACCCTCGAATACAGAACTGTGGATGAAACTAGGTGGCTGAGGAGTTGGATACATGGGTAACCCTTCACATTGTTTGTCCAGATGTGGAATGTGTGGTGAGGAAGTGGTGCCTTGGTTAGTATCTCGTCTTTCGACTGGTACTATGAGAAAAAAAAAAGGAGTTAAACCTCATATCTTGCTAATTATAAAAGGAGATTAACCCAAAAATTATTGGTGTTGTCATCAACTTTGGAAAACATTTTTCTAAACTATTTGAGCATTAAGCTATTTGTTGGTCCATGACCCTAATAACATATGAATCTCTCTCACACACACAGACCTCAATATTTCAGTTAATTCCAACAAATACAACAGGGGTTCCCTATGTACTCTATAGAAAACGAGTGATTTCACCCAGTGTTTGTGGTCATTATTTTATTAGGTCGTCAAGAAATTGTCGCCTTTTTTAGATGAAAAAAAAACACGAACAACTTGTATGTCAAAACATTTATTAAATGAAATAGTCTCCATTCTTATCGATGATGCTTTTCCATCTTACAATCAGGTTGTTAATGCACTGATTAAAGAAATCACTTGGCTTTGAAGCAAAAAACATGTCGAGATTCTCTTTAACACCTTCTACATTTGCATACGTTTTCCCATTAAGATAGTGTTGCAGCGAACGAAAGTGATGGTAATCTGATGGTGCCATATCTGGAGAATATGGGGGAGAACTTCCCAACCCAACTCCATAATCTTGTGTTGGGTCAAACGTGCCACATGTGGACGTGCATTGTCGTGGAGAAGAACACCTTTCCGATTGACGAGTGAAGGGCATTTCTGATGAAGGGCTTGATTTAAAGGTTCCAGTTGTTGACTATAAATCTCTGCATTGACAGTTCACTGTGGATTGAGAAGTTCGAATTGGGTTATTCCTTTGATATCCCACCAAATGCAAAGTATCACTTTCTGAAGATGGAATCTAGGTTATTGAGTCGGAAGTATTTTTTGTCTGGGACTGAGCCATTTTTTCATCATCGGTGACATTTCTGTCCAAAAATGGTTCACGCGCTTTATGTGCCAGAAGCAACGTTCACACGTTGGAAACGATGATCATCGT